GCTGCACGCGGCAGGCTGCTGGCCGAGCCCAGCCGACTGCTGGTTCGGTCGGACCGCAGTCCGGTCCAGACCGGTTCAGACCGGCTGGACCGGTTCAGCCTCAGTTTATTCTGGTTCGGTTCATGTTTAAGTGTTCAGCCCAGTTTATGATTTTAAGGACATTTTCAGTTAAATTTCCGGGATTATTTCAGTTCAGTAAATTCATGTCCAATAAGTTCAGGTTAAGTCAGTTCCGGTTATTCCGGATAAGTCTAAATATCATGTTAAGTTAAATAGAGCATCTTAACGAAATTAATCAGTTAAGTTAACAGTCTGAGCATAGTCAATAGTAATTGTTTATATTATTTTCAGTTTGATCAGGCATCAGCACTACCGTTCAGTTCAGCAGTTCAGGTGGGGACTCAGACTACGTACTACATTGATTATAATTACAGTACCATGTTTGAGGTATGTATTTCAGTTGAGGCATTCGCTCGGAATGGTCGCCGGTCCATTCTGGGTTCTAGTGGTCCTAGTCTGCCCACTAGAGTGTGCACATGGTGTCCGGCTTTGCCGGCAGATGAGGTAACGGTCAGGGTCACTTTTGAGTGACGATTTCAGGGTCATGTTTGCATGACGATTTCAGGGTCACGGTTGCGTGACGATTTCAGTTTTACCGGCTTGAGGCTGAGGTTATGTATATACTGATATCATGATGTTATTATTATTTTTGATGTTTTACATTAGTATGAGTTTCCACGGAGCACAGTGCCATAGTGCTCATTCCCCAGTTTTATCATGTTTTTCAGGTCAGGACGTCGGGCCGGGAGCATGAGCGTGATGTGACGGGGACTTCAGGATATTTATATTTTGGACTGTATAATTATGATTATGACTTACGCTTCCGCTTATGGTACTTTGATGATGTTTTTGATGACTTTTGACGTACTCGTTTGACGAACTTTTGAGAACTTATGATTTAAGTAACCGGACGGTTTTATTTAAACTAAAACAACGGTTTTTCTAAGTTAAGTTATGATTTTTAAAGGTAGCACCCCGAATCAGTTTTCGCAAAGTAAAAGGTTTTATTTTAAATAACTTTGCGAAATTTGCGCTACTCTGATTTTACGATAAGGAGGGGTGTTACAATTGGTATCAGAGCACGTTTCTGCATCTCTGATGAGCTTTTCAGTCAGTAATTTTTCAGAAAAACCTGAACCGTTATGCTCACGCCCCGCCGACGACAGGTAAGTGCTGATTCAGTTTTTCAGTTTTAAACATATTACTTTGTCTATGCTCAGAATTAAGGATCAGGACTTTAGTTAAGATGGTCGAATCAGGTTCAGACTTTAGAGTTCGGACATGACTCTAGAATTCAGGCATTCAGATATGACTCTAGACGTTAGGATCTTCCTATATGACTCTAGAGTTCTTCAGGATTCACGTTAGTATTTATCGGCCATTTTTGGCAACTCGTCAAGAGATCTGTGTGCCTTAATAATCAGTCAGTAACGTTATCATGTATTCAGTAAGGTTAATTTTCTCAATATTCAGATGCCGCCACGTAGGGAACCCGATCATCAGGCTCCTACTCAGGCTATGGTAGTCGCTCAGTTTCGCGATTATCACGCCGAAAAGTTCTCAGGGCAGGGAGACCCCCGCATCGTTGATGAATGGATTCAGGGGTTGGAATTTATCTTTGAGGTTATGGAATGCCCCGATAGATATCGCGTAGTTTGCGCTCAGCTTCAGCTCACTGGTGATGCAAGGCTCTGGTGGAATGCCTACTGGAGCATGCGTCCCGGTGAAAAGGCGGGTTGTACATGGGACATGTTTAAGGAGTTAGTCCGTGACAAGTACTACCCTTCCTACTATCGGGCAGAGATGGAGCGCAAGTTTTTAGCGCTTCAGCAAGGCACTCGTACTGTTGATGAGTACGAGCGAGAGTTCACTAGACTTGCAGGTTTCGCACCGGATCTTGTTCGCACGGAGGCTCAGAGAGCGCAGAGGTTCATTGACGGACTTTACCCAGCAGTCCGTCACAACATCGTGGGACACGGGACTCAGACCTACGCTCGTGCCGTTACTATCGCTCAGGAGGTGGACGCTAGCATCAGGAGGGAGGCAGTTCGTGATCGTGCCCAGCCATCCGCCCCAGTTCCACCATTTGTAGCTCCACCATCTCTACCAGCCCCTCAGCCAGCAAAGGAGAAGAAGAGGAAGGGGAAGGGTGCACCGACTGACCGGAGGACCCGACAGAGACAGCAGCCGATTCCGCCTTGCCCGACTTGTGGTCGACTTCACAGAAGAGAGTGTCGTGTGGGAGAGGACATCTGCTATTACTTCCACGAGCCAGGACATTTTGCTAGTCGCTGTCCGAAGAGACTCCAGCAGCAGCCTCAGCAGCCTCAGCAGCCACCACAGCAGCAGCAGCCACGTCAGCAGGCACAGAGGCCACCTCAGCAGCAGCAGCAGAGGGGCAGGCAGTAGGCCAGGGTTTACGCAGTCGATCAGGCAGAGGCAGCACAGCAGCCAAGTACCATGTCAGGGATGGTTGTTCTCAATGATATTCCTGTATTCGCGTTATTCAATACTGGAGCGACACATACTTTCATTTCACGACGATGTCTCGATGCCATCGGAGTTCATGCAGTTACGGCTGTCGATCCTCTCGAGGTGAGTTTAGCCTCGGGACGAAAGATAGTGACCTCAGCTAAAGCCTCAAATCTTAGCCTTTCCATCGGTGGCCGAGTATTGACTGCCGACGCGTTTGTTCTCGAGATGAGGGACTTCGACCTTATTCTCGGGATGGATTGGCTATCCTTCTATCATGCAGATATCAGGTGTCATGACCCGGAGATTACTCTCTATCTTCCGGGAGACGAGTCGATTACTTTCTTCGGCTCCAGGAATCGTTCACTGCCTCATGTTGTTTCGTTGGCGAAAGCCACTAAGTTATTGCGACGAGGCAACTGCCAGGGTTATCTGGTAAGCCTTGTTGACGATTCTCAGAAAGCGCGGACACCTCATGATGTTCCAATCGTTCGAGAGTTTGTGGACGTGTTCCCAGACGAGCTTCCAGGAGGACCGCCCAACCGTCAGGTGGAGTTTTCTATCGATCTCATCCCCGGGGCCGGTCCAGTATCCAAAGCCCCATACCGTATGGCGCCTAAGGAGTTGCAGGAGCTGAAGACTCAGATTCAGGAGCTGTTACGACTCGGTTTCATCCGACCGAGCGTGTCACCTTGGGGAGCACCCGTTCTCTTTGTTAAGAAGAAGGACGGATCCATGCGTATGTGTATCGATTACCGGGATCTTAACCGGTTGACAATCAAGAATAAATATCCGCTTCCCAGGATCGACAACTTATTTGATCAGTTGAGGGGAGCCTGTGTGTTCTCGAAGATTGATTTACGATCAGGCTACCACCAGCTGAAGATTAAGGAGTCAGACATCGCTAAGACCGCTTTCAGGACTCGTTACGGCCATTACGAGTTCGTCGTCATGCCTTTCGGCCTCAGCAATGCGCCAGCAGTTTTCATGGACCTCATGAACCGTATTTTCCATCCCTACCTCGATCAGTTCGTTATTGTCTTTATTGACGATATCCTTATCTACTCGAAGAGTCAGAAGGAGCATGAGGAGCATCTGAGGGTGGTTCTTGAAACCCTCAGACGAGAAAAGTTGTACGCCAAATTCTCCAAATGCGAGTTCTGGCTTCAGAGAGTATCCTTTCTGGGTCATGTGATTACTCAGGCAGGCATCGAGATGGATCCTTCTAAGGTTTCAGCCGTTCAGAACTGGTCGACACCGAGGAGTCCGTCC